TGTTCCTGGTGTGTTGCCAGCATCCATCTTCCTTTGTCTCTGTTTTCCTTTGCGATTTTTAAACCGCTCCTTTTTCTTATTTGGGTTAGGTTTCGCCTTCGTTGTTCGTTTCTGAAGAGACAGAGAATGCGGAAGTACAAGATTAAACTTCTCTACTGCCTGTTTGTTATCTCAAATTTACAAGAAGCTTGTAGACTTCGTTCGGTTTAACTTTTGATTCCGAGGCTAGTTTGTTTACATTAATTTGTTTCAATTTGAAATGGACTGAATCCATGGCCAATGATTCTTACGTTCTTTGATAGTTCTACAACATTTTTCTTTCTAGTTTTTCCTTGCTTCAGTTTTCTGAGCTTTTTTGTAAGTCTCTCAACGCGTCTCACGGTGGTAAAATTTCACAAGCGCTCCCATAAGGTCATGCTCTGCTTTCTTTTTAATCGATCTTAGGTCTGATTTATAATCTTCAATAATCGCGATGTTCGCCCTTATCTGGTAGCTTAGGCCTTTTGGTCATGTGCCCTGCTCTAAATAAGCTTGTAAGAGTCCGAATTAGTTCTTTCTCAGTATTGTCAGGGATTTCTTGACTCCATTCCATTGAGGCCTCGCTGGCAACCGATTTCCTCCATCTCCGCTTCATATTCTAATAGACTAGAAGCTTCGAATGCCTCGGAGTCATAATCACTGTCCGAGTTTGAGTCTTTGGATGACATGGCTTTCTTTAGATACCCTATGGAGCGTCTTCGATTTTCAAAGAATAGAAAAATGCCCAAAGCATTTCTTGTCTCGGCAACGCACCCTCGGGTTTTTCATTGTAGCGACCCTGTTTGTTCAAGTGCGTTGTGTCCCTCGTGCCAACGGGATAAAAGTCTATTTTTTGACCTTCAATACTCTTTGCAATGGACTTAAAATGTCACTCAAGGCTGTAAAAAAAAAAAAATTTAGCCTTAACTGGCGTGAAATTATACAATCCTGGGTTGTGGTAAGTTTTGTCACAGACCCTTGCACCGTAAAATTTCTCTCTCGATTATTAAATCTATATAAAAATTATTCTTCCATTAATTACGCTGTCTTTCGGTTGCCTCATAAACATTGTCTCAAGTTGGTGTCCCTCTGTCCCGTGACACCCATAAGACAAGCTGTAAAAACACCTACTACTTTTCTCAAGAGCAACTCTCTTATGCAAACCATTATTGACAACTTGATTGCACATAATGGAGAAACGATGGGTTTCTTTACTATTTTTACTGAGTGGACTATGCTTGGAAGGTAAATAAAGTTTTAATGTAATTCCATTTGTATCATCAGTGTCACAGATTAAAATCTACCATATGTAAAGGCAGTAGGATAAATTAACCACGATGTCGCTGTAATTCGTAATTGTCAATTTCTGTCAAAAGTGTTTCGCTAAATGATTGAAGACAAACTATTATATCGAAAAACTTAAAAATGTTTCGGGTTTTAGTTTCTCTTGCTTATCCTCAATCCGCAAAAAATTTTTCCCGTATAACACAGACAATCGGTGATCGATCTGCATAATAAAACGACTGCAGAATTTCATGTCGCAGGGTGAGTGGGTACAGAGTCTTAGCTTCGGCGAATGGTATTTTCCCCGGGAAAGTGATGTGTCTTGAGTCACAAGACGGCAATGTGTTCTTCAAACAATCACGAACAGGACATGTTATTACACTTGCCATGAGTTTTGTATCGATCAGAGTCAAAATCATAAACATGGCCTATAATGTAATTATTTAGTTATAAAATAATTCAAATAGGATGCGCGCTCTGATTGGCCATAAAACCATTTTACATGAGCGCATGTAAACACGGTTTTCGTTCCTCTTTCATTAGTTATTTTATAAAAGAAATGTAAAATGGTTTCCGTGTTTACATAGCCTAATGTAAACACTTGGGAGGTTGGGAGAACGGAAACCATTTTACCTTTCTTCATTGAAGCATGAAAAGCTTATTAAGTTAGCGTTTTCCGAACGATCAATATGAATTGTTTAATATTCCACTCTCTGTAAAGTTCAGTATTTCATCAGTATCAAATTGGTCTTAATTTTCTTCTACATCCGCCGTTTCACTGAAGGAAATATGCAACGATCCGTTGAATTTATTTTTGTGGTCAGATCATTTATCCGTGGTCTAACTTCACCTGTAAAAATTAAATATGTTCTTTCTATAATTGATAGTTTCGTTTTTAACTTGTAAAATGGCTTAAGGCCATTTCCATTTTATGACTCAAAATTCACACCTTCCTCCTTTCTATCACTCCGTCAGTCCTTCCTATGAAAATTCCGCTGACAAGCGCTTAAGCAATTTTGCATATTCAATTTCATCGTAAGGCTCAATTGAGGTCAACTGATCGCTGAGAATTGGTCAAAACTTTAACAGACTGCTGATATATAATAATAGAGCAGCAAATTTTACTGATGGGCATTTGATACGCTCTGATAAAAACACTATTCGAGGCCGATAAGGCGTCTGACATTGCAGTATTTTTGGGATCTCTGTACAGCACTTCTTTATTCTGAATTTGAACATTGGATTGCCGAAAACACCAAATCGGTGAACTGTACTCAGGAATGAATAAAGCATTCACTTTTTCCAAAAACAGGAGAAGGAAAGACAAACGCTGCGCTTTGGTTATTGATACTTTTAAATGCTGCTAACTGCACAACAAATGGTTATGGTCTCCACGAAATAAGAAAAAAAAGCGAATGCTTTTGAAAGGGAAGGTAATCGATGACATCCATTGCGCCAAGATAGTAGCTTGTAGTTAATTTCGGTATGTTGCTTTTCCAGGAGTACAAGGTACGGATACAAAATGACTTTCCATAGGCAAAAACCTCACAATATGAAGTCTGATCAGGGAACTCGGCACTACATCCTGCATCAGTCGTTTTCCGCGTCTAGTGGCTCGCAGCTACTCTGACTGGTCGCAATAACGGATCACTCAAAATCCTTAATTTGTTCATGATTTTTTTACTCATTTATTTATTTATGGTGTATTATTTACTAGAAGGAGTCCATGCAATGCAGTGGTTTGTTTCAAGACGTGATGGGAACTTTGCTAACAATTGCGGGCTCAAAGCGTCATTGCCCTGTAAAACAATTCAACAAGTGATTGCGCATGCATCTGATGGTGATGTTATCAATATAGACGGCACAAGAACGTCCCGTGACCCTAATCCGTGCGAGAATTGGACAGAATTGAATCTAGCCGCTCCGGCAATACGCAGTTACAACACTCGAGCATTTCTTTCTTGCAAAACTGAGGGCCTGCGAGTTTTGTGTAATTCGAGAAAGAGAGCCTTTGGTGGAGTCTCTGTGGACCAAATAACCTTCGTCAACACTTCACTTCATCTCTCTGACTGCTCCTTAAAGCTCAACGACTGCAGCTTTATAAACAGTTCCGTTGCCGCGCTTACGTCAAGATACGCCACTGAATCTGTGAAAAAAATGTTCAACTCGATGGATGCACCTTTCAGAACAACAGTGCTAGTAGTGTTACAATTTATGGCAATTCTATGGTCAACTTGAACATTTCCAAAACTACGTTTGCTTACAATAAATTGCTGAGTGAGGAAGACGCAATATTGTACTTGTCCGACAAAAACTTGCATGGGAATCAAAGTGGGGAGAGTTGTTTTACATCGAAGTATTTTAGGTGAGTATTCGTTTGCTTTCATTTGATTGGCATGTGCAAGTGTAGTGGGCGAAAATGTTTGCTCTCAGGGAAAAGAGAGATCACAAAAGTAAAGATCCTTTTTACTCTAAGGTAAAAACAAACCAGTTTGCCCGTATTCCACTGGCATGAGTCACTCTTTTCACTATCAGAAAATATCTTTTCCCTTCACTTCCTCGCTTTGTTTGAGCATGACGAGGAGTTTCATAGACTAGGCTAGTAAAAGAGACACATCGGCAAAATGAGTGCGCTTGCTCTTAACGTGCGAGAAATTTACACTATTGCAGCAAAATGGCGGCATTTTTCGAATTCCCGTTGTTTGTTTTCATTTTGTGGGGAAAAGCTCAAACCAAAACAGGTAAGCTACCGTTTTCAGGAAAAAACAATAAATAACATGTAGCGGTCACAGGTGTTATTTTGCAAGTGATATTCCCCAATTTGAAACCTTACGTCTACTACGATACGGCCGGGGCAAGGCGTTGTGCCCTTGAGACGTGCGGGAAAAAAAATCCGAGCTCCGCTTTTAAGCTTGGCTAAATGTATATATTTCAAATTCGACACAGAAAAATATATATGACGCAATTTACTTCAAATTTGAATAGAGAAAAAGGACGCACCTCTGTGTGAAAATGATGCAGGTCTTGTATAATTTGTAAACAAGCGCTGTGCAGGTGAGGACCAAACGACAGATGCTTAACTTGGGAAAGTTCTTTAATAAGCGATGTTGCAAGATCGATAAGTTCAGATGAATTCTCTTGGACATAGAGCTTAGCCACCTGGCGTTCAACGACTAATGTTTATGTAAGGAACAATGAAATGTCAGGTCATGTGAACAGGATGATGAGGGGGAGGGGGATGGAGGGGTATTTGAGTTGGGATCACATGGTTTCAGGGATAACAGAGAATGATCAATGATCGTGGAATTTACTTTCGGAAAGTCGACAGACGCGTTCCAGTATTATTTGGGAAACTCGATATTAATTGGTTTGCCGTTGACATATCGAATTGTTCTCATTTGTGTGCGTGACAAATTTGCATATTCTGACCACTAACAATAATCCTTTCTGCGCTTCGCGTATCCACGACTAAAAATGCTAGTTTTCCTAAAATAGGAAAAATGACTGCTCTACTGTATAGAGGCCCAGCGTAAAGCAAGCATCAGTCCCCGGCAGCAACAAGAAAAAACTTATTATGGTGACAACAAACTCTGATGTATAGTTCTATGATGGCGGGTGTAAGTTACAAATGCGTACTTGCTGCCCGTCACGAAGAAGCCCCATTTTATCTGAGGAGGAAACCTGAAACCTCCCGAGTACAGAGCCAGACACTGAACATGAACCTTAAGGGAGAGAAGTTGAACTAAAGTATGTAAATACAAACTGTAAATATATGAGGTACCACCTGCAATCAAATTGAAATAGACGTAAAGAAAAGAAAGCACAAATGCCAGCGATGTCAGTGACTTGACCCGGTTAGATCTCGCCATTTAATTCCCACGTCTCCATGTCAACAGTCAAAAAGTCATAACCGTGAAAACAATGATTTGCTGCTATTCTTAGAACCGCAGCGAATAACACCTCTTGGATTGTGACCAATAATTTATTCACCCTGTACGTCTCGTGACATTCCAGTGAGGAATCCCAATCTCGAATATCGCGTGAATTTTGTTTTCGAAAAGCAGCCGTTAAGAACAGTTGATCGGCGTTGTCTCGATGTCTTGCCGACTCACATAATGGAGCTAACAACGTTTTATTGGATTTTTCTTTGGAGTGGAATATGTTTGGAAGGTATGTGAAATCTCGTTATGATTTGCAGTTATATCTACTCAGCATATTGCCTTTAAACTTAGCCACTTATTGATGCAAAGATACCCTAACCAGTAGCGTCGATAAGGTTTCGCTAAATTGTCTACACCAAGAGCTGCTGGTTGAACGACTCGTAGGAGGCCTTGTTTCCACTGATGTTGGTTTTTTTCACTATACATGTCTTGGCAGATCGCCGTTGTTGACTCAAATAAACATTGATTTCGACTTGTGGGGTTCAAGCTCCTGGAGTAAATCCGTGTACCTTAGTGCCAACCGATTTTTAATTGCGTAGGAAAATGAAACAAAAAAGAAAATTAAAATCCGTTTTTTTAAGAGCTGCAGAAAGAGAAAAACGAAGAGCATTAAGTGAATTCGAATGCCGTTTCCTTCCCAGCGGGGAATAAATGAGGAACCAATTTGGTTTGTTTACAGCGCAAAGGAAAACGAAGAACAAAGTTAAAATTTGAGCTTCATTTTCCTACGCGATTGAAAATCGTTTAGCACTAAGATACACGGATCCAAGTAATATTAGCAAATTCAATGAGAATGTTTCCATTCGGCATAAGTATAATTTTTGAAGTTGGGTGAAAATTGGAGAAGCATGGCTCTTTGTTGAGAGTTGGTCTAACCTTTTTAACGAGCAGGAGAGTAACTTTATGACCAAGTTGACATCCATCGTTGATTGCATCAGCTTTAACGAAACAGGAAGTGGAGGGACTTTCCCCAGGAAACTTGTCGTGTGTCACAAAGCAGTCTCGTGATTTCTCAAGAGGTCAGAATAGCCACACAATGGTCGTAATTATAGAAAGTGATAAATAGAAGAGGGGGTTGACAGCTAATCTGTAAGAAATTGCGTGACGTTGCGTGACGTGGGTTTGTTAATTTTCATTTCAAAGACAGTCACGTTGAACAACATGACGGTAGTCGGAAAGTTACTGTTGTTACCTTCCGCGTTAGTTAGCGCTCTTCTTGTCAAAATAATCAGAATCTTGTTATATAACCAACATAGACCTTTATTGAAAAGAAAAGTTGACTTCATTTTTGGTGAACACTTTGTCATTCATTCATCAACCTGACAAAGTGGCACAAAGGGCGAGTGACGTGTCTGCAGTTGATTGGCGATATCAAACACAGAAAAAAGGCATCGTTATTTTAGACGTGTATAGTTACGTCTTTTCTCTGGGCTAGAAATCCTTGAAAAAATAAGTTTAAACCATAATCTCTATTTATTTATATTTTTCTTATTTAATAGAAACTATCCATGCCAAGCAGTGGTTTGTCTCAAGATACGATGGGACCTTTAAAAATAACTGCGGGCTCAATGCGTCATCGCCATGTAAAACCATTCAGCAAGTTACTATGCATGCGTGTGATGGTGATATAATAAATATAGACGGCACAGGAACGTCACGTGACCCTTATCCGTGCCAAAACGAGAAAGGATTGGATCTAGCTGGTTTAGTTCTGCGCAGCTACAATAGTCGAGCATTTATTTCTTGTAGGACGAATGGATTTCGGTTTTTTTGCGGCATGGCTTCTCGAGGAGTCTTTTTTGAAGAAATCACCTTCGTTAACACTTCAATTCATCTCTTTGAATGTTCTTTAAACGTGGTCGCCTGCAGCTTTATAAACAGCTCTGTTCCTACACTCACCTTGAAATTTGATGAATTCTTTGTGGTGAGAAATATTCAACTATATGGATGCATCTTTCGAAACAACAGTGCCAGTAGTGTTACAATTTATGGAAATTCTTCCGTTAATTTGAACATTTCAAGTTCTGCATTCGTCAACAATGAGATACGCAGTGAAGGAGACGCCATACTTAACATGTCTATTCAAAACTTACAAGCAAATCAGAGCAGTATCAAAGCTAATTTTACTGATCTAAGAGTGTTACAGAATATCTGTTCAGGTAAAGCATGCTTTCGAGTTTTTGCTGGCATAAACGGAACTGACTTAGTTCTCGTTATGGAGAGAGTACTTTTTGAAAACAATGTGGCTGAAGTAAATATCTTGGACGTTCATGGCTTTTCAAACGGGTACACTGATTTCAAGTCGTCACAATTTCGAAAAAATACAGGCAGAGCGGTCAAAATCCACAATGGCGACTCAATTGACCTGAAAATCGAAAGATCGAATTTTTCTGGGAATGGAATACCTTATTCCAGAATAAAACCTGAGTGGAACTACGATGAAAGCAATGGAGGAGCAGTTTTAGTCGATGGATTCACACAGGACGCCTTGGTTTCCCTGCACGGTTCAAAGTTCAATTCGAACAAAGGTGGAAGTGGCGGAGCATGCGCATTTGTCAACATATTGCGGTCGCTTTTAGTGGACATAAAGAACTGTCGGTTTGTGCGAAACGAAGGAAGGTTTTCAGGTGGAGCTGTAGCTGTGGGAAGTTTCTCCAAACGACTCGATTATTCTGACTCGATATGTATTCATGGCTCAGAGTTCATAGGTAATAAACTGTTGATGGATACTTGTGGGGATCTTGTTTGTGGAGGTGGCGCAGTAGGTCTGTACGTGAAACACATGGGTAACTTATCAATAGTCAATGACACTTTCACAGATAACCAAGCGGAAGGAAAGACTAGCGGAGCCATTTATGCTAAGGTAGAATATCTGCATTCGGACGTGGAAATTCTGAGTAGTGAATTTCTCCGTAATTGGGCCACGAGGGGTACCAGCACCCTTGAAATAACCTTTTCTGTTTCATCCCAGCCACGAGTAACTTTACAAAACCTGACATTTATTAACAATAGTGGTTACGTAAACAATTCTATCAATACCCCGTCTGACATTTTCATTAATCCTGGCAATGGCTACGTCGTGTTACGCTCATCTAAAATACAAAAAAATTCCGGCGGTGGGTTTCAAGTGCTCTTCACATCCCATGAGCGAAATTTGGGTGGCAATGTGAGTTTTGTTATGGAGAACACTTTGATAAGTGAAAATGTAAATTTTTTGATGTTGATCGGCATTGATGGGCCAGCATTCCAACCGGTGTACCACTTAAAAAATGTTTCATTTGTGAACAATAACTGCTATGGTTATGGATTGAGCTGTATTCATTTAGCGGCCGTTAATAGTAATTGCTCGTTACAATTGGAACAGAGCACATTCCTAAACAATCTAGGCCCTTTAGGAATAATACGCATTGTTTCGTTGCCACCCGGCATATCCGATACTAAATTTCTGACGACCATCAACAACACTGAATTTCGCAACAACTCTGGAGATAATACATGCATCCTTGACCTATTTAACGTTTACGCCACTGAAATTCAAAACTGTAACTTTACCGATAACTTTGGAGGCGTGGGTAGTTCGCACATATGCATTTTTCCGGGGAAGCTGACAATTCGGAATAACACCTTTTATCAGTCGGCAGAATCTCAAGTGCTTTATGATGTGGGCGGAAAGTCAAAAGATTTATTAGTGGCATTCAGCGGATTTTTGACAGTAACACAGTCTGAATTTCTCGAAATTCGTAACAGCTCCTTTACTTTGGATCCTTTTGGTGCAGAAGGCCAAGCTATCGTTTTTGTTGAAGGAGCGGGAAAGGGAATCTTGGACGACTCCGTGCAAATTGCGTCACCAATCAACACCAAGCTTAATATGCGAAGCCTACAAACAGATACTATTCGCGAAGAAGTGACCAAAGAATGGGTTTGGATCAGTACCGAGCGTTGTCCTGTGGGAACTTACAGTATCCGTAGAGGCAAACAGAGTGGCTACAATGTCAAGGAACTAGTGAATTGTTATCGTTGTCCAGTTGGCGGCAACTGTTCATCTTCTCTCGCTGCTCAGCCCAACTTTTGGGGTTATCCTGTAAATAAGGACAACGTTTCCTTTCAGCTTTGTCCAGAAGGTTACTGTTTGCCATCTGTTGATAACAAATGCTCCTATGACAACAATTGCTATCTGCATTCCGGTTGCCAAGGCAACAGGACAGGTATTCTTTGCGGACAATGTAAACAGAATTTCACTGAAGGTTTATTTACAACAGAGTGTGTTCGAGCGAAAGACTGCACCCATTATTGGTATTGGGCTGTTTTCGTGGCACTCACGATATCGTTTGCCTTTTATCTCGTTAAAAAAAACCCGGTGTTTGAGGCAGTGGGAGAGCAATTAACATGGTTCATTCCGAGACGCGCAGAGGATAATGACCAAGTTATTGGCAGCCCTAACAACACAGTCAGAGAAAGTGTCTCTCCAAACTATGGCTTTTCAAAGATTATCTTTTACTTCTATCAAGTGGCTGGAGTATTGACCGTGTCCTCATATGGGGTCAATAATCTATTGAGGAATGAGTTTGTCTTGCCCATTACTAATCTTTTGAACTTAAAACTACATGCTAATACTAACTGGAAGATTTGTCCTTGGCCGATTTTCAGCCCACGTTTAAAATCAGTGTTCCCCTTGGTGACAGTAATGACCATTCTCTTCTGGATTCCAGTTATTTATCTTCTACACAGCGGTCTAAACAAACTACGCAAGCGTGGGCCAACTTTTCCGCCAGCTGGTCCTTACTTTGGAGCTGTCCTGGAAACAGTGTTGCTAGGTTACTCAGCAGTAACTGGCACAATAGTGCGATTACTCCACTGCGTTAGCATTCAAGAAGTGCACCGCTGGTACCACAATGCCCATTACGTTTGCTACCAATGGTGGCAGAAAACTGCTTTTTTCGTCTTTGGTATAAACTTGTTTCCGTTTATACCCACGTTGTATTTCGCTTCGCTGCAACTCTTTCGTGGCAAGATTTCAATAAAGATATTTCTGCTGGTCAGCATCCTACCTTTTCCTTATCTCCTCTTTCTTTTGTATCATTACGTAAAGAAAATAATAACCAAGAGAGCGGACTATCAAGCAATCCCTTCAACTGCCGGCTCAGTTCACGAAGAAGAACGTGACACAAATTCTTCCATGAATATCGAAGCGTCACTTCCTGAGGAAGAAGAATTCCCTTCAATTGCCGGCTCAGTTCACGAGGAAGAACATGACACAGATTCTTCCACAAGTATCAGAGCGTCACTTCTTGAGGTTCTCTGCGGTCCATTTACAAAGCCACAAGGTGACCAATCAAACGGAAGGATCTACTGGGAGAGCATTCTCATTGGCCGTCGATTCCTCATAATTGTGATTAGTTGGTTGCTGTCGGAACATGCGCTTATGCGTTCTGTGTGTCTGACAATCCTTTGCCTCAGTTACTTGTTGCATCACATATACATGAAGCCCTTCGCCCAGTGTCGTGCCAACGTCACCGAAATCGTCTCCTTGACAATCTTGGTCATTATAGGAGTACTGAACGTGGGCCTTGCGTCGGCAAGAAGTGACGTCAGCGGTAGCAATCAACGGTATTTCTCCATTCTTTTGATGTCTGAGACGGTAATTCTGAGTTTTATATCTATTGTTTCCGTAGCTTACGTCATCTTGTACCTTCTTCCGCAAATTGTACGGATGGTGATCAACTTATGGAAAGCTATTCAAGCAAGATGGTTAATTTTTAAAAGAAAGTATGACATACAGTTGTCCGTCCAGGGTGGAGACGAGAGCTAGCTTCTTTCTACGTGATCGTAATAGAACTTTACTGATTAGTAATTACCTTGATAACGTTTTTCCTCTTAGTTACGATCTTCGTTACAATGTTTATTAATGTTTATTTGCTCATCTATTATTCTTGAAACCCGACGCTTTTGCGTCCTTTTTGCGTCCCACGCGCATATAAAAGACGACCTTGGCGTCCTTTCTTCAGTTTATTTAATAATTCGAAGGATCTTGACCTTTGCTCCCCTTGTAACTTTGTAACCTTTAGCGCAAGGGGAACCGCTATGTAAGTTTATTCTTTTATTTTACTAAGGTTTAGTTTTCTTTTATTTTGATTAGATAAAGACTATTGTACTGCGTACCTTTTTAATTGCTTTGTGATGAGTGGCGAAAATCACGCCTGGCGTTTACGACTGAATGCCCAACTTTAAGTTTGACAACGCTTGGGCTATTGACTGTTTGTGTGAATCTCTTAAGGTAGTTTTTTTTTGCCTTTTATATTTTTATCTCGATTTTGAGTTGTAATTAAGTTAGATTTGTTTTACACGCCTTTATCTCATATTCCGGATTTTTGCCTCGATTGATAGGATTTCACCGTATTATTTCAGTTTACGGTAGCTTTTAGCCACTTGGTTGTTTTAGCTTGTAGTATTCTGGTTTCCATCGACAATAAATCTCCGTTAACCGCCACTTTGGTTCTCGTGATTGCGACCCGTAGAATGGTCCCACACACCTTGGTAGCCATTAGCTATGTGTAACCGTACCCTTTCCCCCCCAAGGTGAAACGGAAGCAAGGGAACCTTTCCTCGTTTCACCTTGGGGGGGTGGGGAGGGTACGGCTACACGTAGGCTAGGTGGCCATACGCCCAAAGCGACACCTCGTTTGAATTTTGTTTCAGTCGCCGCAAGTTTAACAGAGTGACTGAGTGATGGAAGGACTTTTAAGCCATAACAACAACTAGGAAATGCCTTTCATCCATGTTCTGAGTTAGAAACGAAACTATCAATAATAGATAGAATATTTTAAAAATTTTTGGGAAGAGTTACACCAAGAATAAATGATATAAATGATCTGTCCACAAAAATAAATTGATCGGATGGTTACCACATTACCTTGAATAAAACGGGGAACGTATAGGAAAAATAAAACGAATTTGATACCGATGAAATATTGAACTATACAAAGACAGGAATATTAAACAGTTCATATTGATTGTTCAGGAAACGCTAACTTTGTGAGCTTTACATGTTTCGACCGAAAAATAACAATATTGGCCGTGTTTATAATTTTGACTCTGATCGACACAAAGGTCGTAGCGAATGGAATAACACGAAAACTCCGTCAATTATAGTGATACGGGGAAATAATTTTTAAGCGGAAGTTTTTAAAAAAAATTAAATGTCTAACCTGAGATGAGAATTTCCAAGTCCGAGTTTCTTTCATTTTAATAACACAATCAATTGGTATTGGGCATTTAACGCGTAATTGTACTGGACGTAATCCTACTAACTCTACAAATAGTGAATATTAATCTAAAAAATATAAATGGGATCAAAGAGAAACTTCACATTCCTTTCAATCGAAGTCAAGTCAGTGAAAATAGCAAAGACACCTATCTGTTCACAACTATGTCCAGTCGAGGCACTTAGACGTCAAAACTGATTTGTATTGATTTAATGAGGGTTTTTTTTGAGAAAAGAAATACAGAATCCGTTCAACGTAATAGCTTGTTAGTAACAGCCAGTTTTTTGTCTTGCTGGTGTCACGGGACAGAGGGGACCAACAACCGAACGACAGTGTTTTTATTGTATGAAGGGTTTTCATAAATATAACCTAAATTTTTACACTGCAGTATAACGGTGCAATGGACTGTGACATAACTACAACCCAAGACTGTGTCATTTCACGCCAATAAAGACAACACAGTGTTTTTTCACTGATTTGAGTGACGCACAAGTCTGCTGCAAAGAGTATTGAAGTTCAGAAAATTGACTTTTATCCTGGAGGCATCACTAATTTTCCACGAGGGACACGACATACTGAATTTCCAATGCCTTTATTCTTCCACATATGGAGAAATTTTAAGCCATAAATACCGCATTCAAATTAATCTTACAATAAAATATATGTATATATCATTAAAGTTTTTCTTAATTTTATACATGGAAATATATGAAAATTTTATACACCTTTTCTCTCATTCCACTCTTACGGCGTTACGTATACAAAGGAAGAGATATTTTAAACATTTGCCTAACACAAGTCTTCGCGATACATTACATCGTCAGATCAAAAAAGTATTGCGTGACACTTAAACAGCGTGACACTTAAACAGCGTGACACTATATCCAGCGTTCAAAGACAAAGCTGACACGATGAGTCCAGACGCACACAGTTAATGTAAGAAACAATTTATTTAAAAGATATTGGACTGTCCAGTTGACGTGAACTCAAAGGAGGCTTACCCGGATAGTTCTTCACCACGTTCAGATAACACTAAAAACTACCACTGCTTGAGTCAGGAAAGTCTGTCATCTCTTTCGCAGGCTTTTTGCGAGCTGAAAGTTACCATAAAGTAAGATGTCACGCGACGCTTTTTGTTTTCTTTTTTTTAACGCAATTGCAAGGTTCCAAGGTACATTGGCCTTCATGTGGTAACTAACGAAATCAATTGGCATAAACCAAGAAACTCACTTTTCTTGTATGCGTTCCATATCCTTACAGTTTTGTCCCAAGAAGCGGAAATATACTGAAAGAATAACGTAAGGTAACGGTTCAATAAAAATTGAAAGCATACCCAAGAACATTCAAAATTTGACATGCGAGGGGTCTGGGGTCTGAATACCATGAAATTGAGGCAAAGAATTCTTAACCTCATTTCCACGCCAGAAGTTTGTACCCTATTCTCAAATCATACCATACAGTTCCTAGCAAGCTAATAACTACAACCGTAAAAAAAAAAAAAAACGATAAATACCTGACTCCTCTCAGGAATATGAATAATACATCGCACAGAATCGCTGTGTCCAAGATTCTTCTGCACGATCTTGCGTGTGTCTGGATCATAAACCCTGGAAATGAAACAAAAAAAATTGGGTGGCATTTGCCCCTGTAATTTTGCTGCAACATTCGTCACACACTCTCATGGCCTGTTTGCGTGACACAGTTCCGACACTACAAAAAGACATCCAATATGTTTCTTGCACGTTTGCATTACCTGTTTGCGTGACAACGAACGGCCACTCTAACAAGATATCTTTGTCATACATGTCACGAAATCTTTACCTGATGATTTCTTGGACTCCAGCCACAATACAGCCGTTCACTTGATCAATACACAGAGCTGAAACAGCTCCTTGAGCAGTCAGCACCACGTCGCAACCCATTCCATCTCCTCTCTGCGATTAGCAACAATATCAAAAGTACAAATAAATCAGAGCGGTTTTCGATGAACTATGATAATCTCACAACCAGAGTAATCGCAATAGCCAATCAGCACAAAGGAAAATATCACAAGCAGCCAATGAGAACTCAGAGTAAAAACATTTAAAAGCCCTCACAAGCAGTTGCCAAGTCGCCATTGATTTAATTTCGCGCCTTGTTGATTAAGAGAGAGTGGGGCGAGTTTTCAAGATCAGTCATAGCCCTGGTTTATTATGTGGCAAGGTAGTCCTGAGGTAAATCTAGGCGTTCTGATTGGTTCTTAGCTGGTCGGGATTTTGCCATACGGACCTTTTCCACGGAAACGGTCATAAGCCGTGTATTTTTGCTCCGGCAATTTCAAATCAAACAAGTTTTTTTTTGCGAGTGCCATATATCAAACCACTTCCATACCTCGCTTGCACAAGCCGTACTGGGGAATATTAGCCCTCAGTCGTTTGTCACGGACCTCGCTGCACTCGGTCCAAACTGCTACGACTGCCTCAGGCCAATATTACCCAGTATGGCTCTCACACCCGGTCAGTAAGAGGTTATTCCTTGCACACTTACTGGTGCTCCATTGCACCTGCTTCAAAATATACAGTTTCAAGATGTCAGTCACACAGTACACGATGACCTTACCCAGATACGAATAGTTCCATCTTCTGAGCCCGTGATCCATTTGCTCAACACAGCATTCCAGCGAACCTTTCGACAAGTAAAAAATTCTTGATCACACAAATAATGTCGTCGTAAACGCTTAGCAGCTTGATGACTCGAATAACTATACTACAGAAACTTTTTTTTCCGCAAAAAGATTAAATATAGTTAAGAAGCAAATGATACGTGTTGGAAATCATGTTCATGCATGTTCATAAAATCTAAACCCGTACCCTGAATACACCATTGGAATAAACGCCAAGACCGAGAGGAACCTGGCAACGAGTCTTGATTGAAGCGTTCTCACCTGTGTAACTTCAGCCTCATGGCCCTGTAACACCGCTGACAAAGTCATTTCTGCACCGCGGTCAGAGAACTGTCTAATGTACACCAACTTGTCAGACGAAGCATAAGCGAACTCATTTCTACAGAGGGCAGAATAACATGGATACAAAGAACTTGATATGCGCAAAAAAGCTGTTGTCCAAAACTGCCCAAGTGTTTCATCAAAAAAGAGTTCTTCTAAGATGTCCCTAACACTTATAGAGGCGGTTCGAAAGCACCTCTTTGCCTCCCCGTTAGTCCTCTTTCCTCCTCTAGGGGGGGTGCAATGGTCACCGGGGATTGGGCCGGTTCCTCGCCCCAATCCCCGGTGACCAATTTACATTATACACTCAATCGATAACACTAAATCATCCAATCCCCGAGAGTCACCGAGGTATCTTGAGGTACTGAAGGATAAGACTGACTCCTCTCTTCAAATGAAAGTTTGCCGTTTACTGAATCGAGCGTTGAATACCAAGTCATACCTTTCAGCGCTGTACGTTAGGTCCATAATGATACCATCGGAGGCCAGCTCATCGCTCTCAAGGGCGCTGGGATCAGTGTTGCGGAATGTGTCGTGAAAACTATACAAAATGCAACGTAAAATTTCGTTTTACATCATGTTGATAACTTTCAGAGAAAAATGCTTGTTAATCTTGACAAGTAGGTATAAGTTAGGTTTAAGCATTAAGTGAATTATTGGGAATAATTTTAGGGTTAGAAGTTCTAAACATAAGGGAATATTGAATGATGTGAACATATTTCACGAGTCTTACCATGATGCTTCCAGGTCCCACAAGAAGATCCGTCGATCCCAGCCAGCACTAAGCTGAAAGACGAAGAAAAGGTTAAAAAATAAACTGAACTGTTACTGTGCTCAAGTGCACAAGTTCCTACTTCATCAGTACTCTAGCCTGTTTCAGGCGTTCAGTTGATAAAGCGAAGTGCGAGAGTAAAACGGTGCTATAGAAGCGGCAAGGTGAAAAATGTAAGGAGGTTTAGATTGAGTCGTATAATATACGCCTGTGAAACTTTTTGACAAAAGTTTGTTTCAGTTGACCAGAATCTGTTACACCTCAATGATTGGTCGTTACACGACTCATCCCAAACATTTTTTTCCATCTGACCGAAAACCTCGCGCCTTTTATCGCTCAGCTGTTAACATTATGCCCATCGAGCTCACTTTTATATTTACTAACTGAACGCCTCGAACATGGTTCCGCTGCTCAAGAATATTCTCTCTCTCAAAGGCGCCCCGCTGTGTAACAAAACTGTCGTTAAAGAATGCTATCTTGAATAGATCGGAAAATAATCTTGAGGATTGCTTAAAGCCTTAACCTTACTCAACAGTTACAACAAAATGAATCTCACCAAGTAAGTTGTGTTGTACCCAGCCTCTCTCCCCACAACAGCCAGCCCGGTTACACAGCTGGAATGTTCTGTAAACACGTGTTTACAAATGAATCCTGCCACCCTATTGGTTACTGAATCGTGCTCCTTAGAGCCCTGTTAATAAACATGACACATATTTAGACAGAGTAAGTAATTATTTGGAAACAGGCTCTCAAAAAGTTATCCAAACACAAACAAGCAAAACAGAATATCTGACAGATTCAACGCCTATTATGTGAACACAGCAAGAAGAAATGATCAGAAGGGAAGGAAAGCCAATTTGCGGGTCAAGAATACTAATATCAAAAGTTCTGCTTAATATGTGAGAAGTTTTAAATATTGTTACCACTTATCTACTTATTAATTTATTTGTTCAGTTCGCCAAAGGATACAATGTTACTGTTAAGATTCTAGGTGACGTAGATATGGGTGGTAAATAAGGAATATGTCATTTAATTATTGTGAGAGGACAAACTGTAAATGCTTACAAAACTAAGATTTAACTTCTTAATATGTATGTCGCGTAACTGAATAATGCGCAATAAAAAAATAGAGCTGCCCATGATACATTTTACGAATGGAAGATGTGCATCTCTTAACCTTTTAACTCCTGTCGCTGACCAGCATCTAATTTCTCCTAACAATAAAACCCCCGAATTACAC